CAGGACCTGCAGCGGGACCAAGACCTGCAGCAGAGTCAGGACCTGCAGTGGGACCAGGACCTGCAGTGGGACCAGGACTTGCAGTGGGACCAGAACCTGCAGAGGAACCAGGACCTCCAGCAGGACCACAACCATGCAACAGAGTCAGGACTTGCAAGAAAAACCAGGTTTAGGACCTGCAGCGGGACCAGGACCTGCAGCAGAGTCAGGACCTGCAGCAGAACCAGGGACTGCAGCGGGACCACGACCTGCAGCAGAACCAGGACCTGCAGCGGGACCAAGACCTGCAGCAGAGTCAGGACCTGCAGCGGGACCAGGACCTGCAGCGGGACCAGGACCTGCAGAGGAACCAGGACCTCCAGTAGGACCACGACCTGCAGCAGAGTCAGGACTTGCAAGAAAAAACAGGTTTAGGACCTGCAGCTGGACCAGGACCTGCAGCGGGACCAGGACCTGCAGCAGAACCAGGACCTGCAGCGGGACCAGGACCTGCAGCAGAGTCAGGACCTGCAGCAGAACCAGGACCTGCAGCGGGACCACGACCTGAAGCAGAGTCAGGACCTGCAGCGGGACCAAGACCTGCAGCAGAGTCAGGACCTGCAGCGGGACCAAGAACTGCAGCGGGACCATGACCTGCAGCAAAGTCAGGACCTGCAGCGGGACCAAGACCTGCAGCAGGACCACGACCTGCAGCAGAGTCAGGACCTGCAGCGGGACCAGGAACTGCAGGAGAGTCAGGACTTGCAAGAAAAACCAGGTTTAGGACCTGCAGCAGGACCAGGACCTGCATCGGGACCAAGACCTGCAGCGGGACCACGACCTAAAGCAGAGTCAGGACCTGCAGCAGAGTCAGGACCTGCAGCAGAACCAGGACCTGCAGCAGGACCACGACCTGCAGCGGGACCACGACCTGAAGCAGAGTCAGGACCTGCAGCAGAGTCAGGACCTGCAGCGGGACCAAGACCTGCAGCGGGACCAGGACCTGCAGTGGGACCAGGACCTGCAGCGGGACCAGGACCTCCAGCAGGACCACGACCTGCAGCAGAGTCAGGACTTGCAAGAAAAACCAGGTTTAGGACCTGCAGCGGGACCATGACCTGCAGCAGAACCAGGACCTGCAGCTTGACCACGACCTGAAGCGGGACCACGACCTGCAGCGGGATGAGGACCTGCAGCAGAGTCAGGACCTGCAGAAGGACCAGGAGCTGAAGTGGGACCAGGACCTGCAGAAGGACCAGGACCTGCAGCAGAACCAGGACCTGCAGCGGGACCACGACCTGCAGCAGGACCATGACTTGCAGCGGGACGAGGACCTGCAGCAGAACCAGGACCTGCAGCGGGACCACGACCTGAAGCGGGACCACGACCTGCAGCGGGATGAGGACCTGCAGCAGAGTCAGGACCTGCAGAAGGACCAGGACCTGAAGCGGGACAAGGACCTACAGAAGGACCAGGACCTGAAGCGGGACCAGGACCTGCAGTAGGACCAGGACCTGCAGCGGGACCAAGACCTGCAGCAGAGTCAGGACCTGCAGTAGGACCAGGACCTGCAGTGGGACCAGGACCTGAAGCGGGACCAGGACCTGAAGCGGGACCAGGACCTGCAGTATGACCAGGACCTGCAGTGGGAACAGGACCTGCAGTGGGAACAGGACCTGCAGTGGGACCAGGACCTGAATTGGGACCAGGACCTGCAGTAGGACCAGGACCTGCAGAAGGACCAGGACCTGAAGCGGGACCAGGACCTGCAGTAGGACCAGGACCTGCAGTGGGACCACGACCTGCAGTGGGACCACGACCTGTAGCAGAGTCAGGACCTGCAGTAGGACCAGGACCTGCAGCAGGGTCAGGACTTGCAAGAAAAACCAGGTTTAGGACCTGCAGCAGAACCAGGACCTGCAGCGGGACCAGGACCTGCAGCAGAACCAGGACCTGCAGCGGGACCAAGACCTGCAGCAGAGTCAGGACCTGCAGCGGGACCATGACCTGTAGCAGAACCAGGACCTGCAGCGGGAAAACGACCTGTAGCAGAACCAGGACCTGCAGCGGGACCAGGACCTGCAGCAGAGTCAGGACCTGCAGCGGGACCATGACCTGTAGCAGAACCAGGACCTGCAGCGGGACCATGACCTGTAGCAGAACCAGGACCTGCAGTGGGACCACGACCTGCAGCAGGACTACGACCTGCAGCAGAGTCAGGACCTGCAGTGGGACCAAGACCTGCAGCAGAGTCAGGACCTGCAGCGGGACCAGGACCTGCAGCAGAGTCAGGACCTGCAGCNGACCTGTTCAGGACGGATCAGGTCTGGATGTCTGGGATGGATTAGGAGGTGAAACGGTAGCGCTGAGAAGGAGAACTTTCTGGATAGAAAGGACATCTAGACGTGCTCTGAGAATCCTCCCTAGAGGTGCTTCTGGTGTGAAGGACAGGCTGATCTCCTGTCATTGTTCACACAGCTGGTGAATGATACCCAGCAGACTTTGGGTCGCTGCTGCATCAGTGAAGGTCTGAATCCTGACAAGAGGTTTCCATAGTAACCGTCGTTAAAGGTCGTTAAGGAGCAGTCTGAGAATACCAACCAGATGGACCAGGTTCCTGCTGATGGAGTTTTTGGCCTTTGGTCGATTTATCCCAACCACCACGATTCCTGAAAAACATGAAGACAACAATCACTGAGCGGGCCAGTTGTTGTTCTAATGAAGACCGCGACCCGACCCGGAGCCCTGGACCCGGTATGGACGCCGCTACCAGCAGCCAGAGGATCCAGAGGCTACGGGTCACCAAGAACCTTCTGAGGCTGGAACCGAGCCACAGGAACTACCTGGCTGGTTCCTTTTTTTTACGGCACCAGTGGCCCTGCAGCAGAACCACGACCTGCAGCGGGACCAGGATCTGCAGCAGAGTCAGGACCTGCAGCGGGACCAGGACCTGCAGCAGAGTCAGGACCTGTAGCAGAGTCAGGACCTGCAGCAGAACCATGACCTGCAGCGGGACCAAGACCTGCAGCGGGACCAGGACCTGCAGAGGAACCAGGACCTCCAGCAGGAACACAACCTGCAGCAGAGTCAGGACTTGCAAGAAAAACCAGGTTTAGGACCTGCAGCAGGACCAGGACCTGCAGCGGGACCAGGACCTGCAGCGGGACCAGGACCTGAAGCAGAGTCAGGACCTGCAGCGGGACCAAGACCTGCAGCAGAGTGAGGACCTGCAGCGGGACCAGGACCTGCAGAGGAACCAGGACCTCCAGCAGGACCACGACCTGCAGCAGAGTCAGGACTTGCAAGAAAAACCAGGTTTAGGACCTGCAGCAGGACCAAGACCTGCAGCGGGACCACGACCTGCAGCGGGACCACGACCTGCAGCGGGACGAGGACCTGCAGCAGAGTCAGGACTTGCAAGAAAAACCAGGTTTAGGACCTGCAGCAGGACCAGGACCTGCAGCAGAACCACGACCTGCAGCGGGATGAGGACCTGCAGCGGGACCAAGACCTGCAGCGGGATGAGGACCTGCAGCGGGACCAAGACCTGCAGCAGAGTCAGGACCTGCAGCGGGACCAAGACCTGCAGAAGGACCAGGACCTGAAGCGGGACCAGGACCTGCAGAAGGACCAGGACCTGAAGTGGGACCAGGACCTGCAGTAGGACCAGGACCTGCAGTGGGACCAGGACCTGCAGTGGGACCAGGACCTGCAGCAGAGTCAGGACCTGCAGCAGAGCCAGGACCTGCAGCGGGACCACGACCTGCAGCGGGACCACGACCTGCAGCGGGACCACGACCTGCAGCGGGACCACGACCTGCAGCAGAGTCAGGACTTGCAAGAAAAACCAGGTTTAGGACCTGCAGCAGGACCACGACCTGCAGCAGGATGAGGACCTGCAGCG